GTAGCTGAACGTGGTGGTCGTGGAAACCAAAAACTGCATCAAAATCAAATTCCTAATGAATCTGCCAGGCTTCCAGCAGAGCTAGCCTGCTCCGCTCCTGTGACTTCGCAACAGCCTTGATGCTGTGTTTGTTTGTTCTGTGGGGTTTTTTAGACAGGGTCTCACTGTACAGCACTGACTGGCCTGGAACTCACCTCATAGACCAGACTGGTCTCCAACTCCCAGAGAACCACCTGCCTCTGCCTCTGGAGTGCCAGGATTAAAGGTGTGGGCCACCAGATCCAGCACAGAATGTTTGATTTTTAAAACCACTGTTGACTGACTTGAGTTTCACTTAAAAAAAAAAAAAAAAAGTTAAATGATTTTTGGGTTGGGATTAGGGTAGGCTTCCCAACAACCTCTGAAATGGCCCTGAATATATCTTTCCACTTTGTACTGTGTATTTATGTGAAGTGGTATTCTTGGCATTAACAGTTATAAAATCAAAATATCAATCAACTCTAAAAGCACTGAAGATGTTCCACATCCTGCAGTGTCGCATCTTAAGTCAAGATCTAACGCTTTATGTAAAAATTAAGAAGCAAAGCTATTTTATCAGCATGTAAGTGTGCTTTCAACTTTAATAATTGCTAAAATTATTTGCATAGCAAAGAACTGTTTGGTATTTTTGAAACAGGGCCTCCTGTAACCCAAGGCTGGTCTCAAGCTTCTTACAGAGGCGAGGAGGACCTTGAACCTCTGATTCTTCTGCCTCTACCTCCCAAGTGCTAGGACGACGGGGGTGTGTCACCACACCTAGTTTTTGCTGAGCTGAGGATTGGATTCAGGGCTTCATATATGCTAGATAAGCATTCTACATACTGAGCTGTCATCCTTAGCCTCCAAAGAATTAAGATAAACTAAACTCATGGTTTACTATCAGTAGTTAAGTGGTACACTATTTATTTATTTATTTATTCATTCATTTATTTGTTTATTTATTTATTTTAGATAAGGTTTCCTTGTAACTCCAGCTGGCCTGGAGCTTGCTATGTAGACCAGGCTGGCCTTGAGCTCACAGAGATCCCGAGTGGTGGGATTAAAGGTGTGTGCCACCACACCCTACTTGTATACCTTGTTTTGTATACCTCTATACTTAGGATCATGTAACAGTTTCTCAGCTGAAAATCCTTGATGAGCAGGAAAAAATTAAAAAGCCCTGTAACAGAAGGGTCAGTGAGCCGGGTCAGTCTGAGCTGCAGAAGTCACCCCGTGAGAGCTGATGTCAACCCAAACCCAGGTGGTGGCAATGAAGATGGAGAGAGGTGGACACGTAGTAGTCTAGTAGTCACCTTTGGATTATTTAGGAGTGAAAGGAAAACAGAAGTTAGGGGTGACTTCTAAGTTTCTTATGTTGGTAACTGCGGTGTGGCCACATAGCTATCTGAGGGGTAAGACAGCATAGGAATCGCATTTGGGGCGCTCATGGAGATGCTGACTGCCCAGGAGAACCCTTACAGTGAGGTTAAAAGGAGTTTGGTTGGCTAAAAACCAAACCTGAGAAGACACAAGGGCTGACAGAAATGAGAGAGTCATAGCGTATCGATGGCTTGGAGGATGTGGGATAGATGAGATTCCTCGGGAAGAGGAGAGGAGAAGTCCATGTCCATGTGCTGAGACCTGCAACATGTAGAGACGAGGCAGACGGACAGCAGGAACAGTTGGTAAGAAAGAGGAGCCTGGAGGTCGGCATACAGAGGCTTTCTCCTGCTCATCCCCGCCCCCTTTAACATTTGATCACTCTTTTTACTGTCTTTAAAATTTTTAGATACATTTCAATTATTCATTTAGTGTGTTGGGGGAGGGGGAGTGCAGCTGTCAGCTCTTTTCTGCCATCACGTGGATTCCAGAGATCAAACTCAAGTCATCAGGTTTGGTGGCAAGAGCCTCTACCCACTGAGCCATCTCATCTGCCCCCAAAATTTTTTTTGTTTTTTTTTTTTTGGCTTTTTTTGAGAGAAGGTCTCCCTGTAGCCCCAGCTGGCCTGGAACTCACACAGCCTACCTCTGCCTCCTAAGTGCTGGGATGAAAGGCGTGTGCCATGGCCAGAATTTTTCTTAAATGAGAAAATAGCTGACTTTGGAAGAGTAATTTTAGGTAATGAACGCTAGTTCAGACATTTAGATGAACCTTTCCAGAAACAACAGGTCAACAATATCTCAGGAGGTGAGACCTATACATCAATTATTCGAATCATTGTGATGCATGGACTGAATGTAATGCTTTCAGGAGGGGTCCTCTGCTGACCCATTTCACAGTAAGTAACCTTTTGGTTGAGGGAGAGGTGAGTTAATTTAGCCCTGGTTCTGTGCAATTAGTTATACACACATTACTCTGTCTGCTTTCAATCAGGCAGTACTTTTTAAAAATCTGAGACGCAATAAAAGCTTACCGTAAAGGCATTTATCATTCATTTATTATTCCCAACATTTTCAGAAAGCAAATGAGCCCCCACGCAAGCCCACAGCAGGGGTGCTCATCAACATCAACACCTTGACCCTGCGAGCTGGAGCCAGATTCGCTGACTCTTGTGCAGACTGCCACGTCCCGCCATCTGCAAAGCATCCTTGCAGCCCTGTCCAGCAGGTCCTGATCTCCAGAAACCTGCCCCTTCTCCCGGTTCCCTTCTCTGCAGTGGGCCACCTGTGGGCTGAAAGTAGCATCTTCCCAGACCCTGTTCCTTGTCCCCCCCCCCCACAAGGCTACAAACTGCCCCAATCTCACAGCTGTCTCGCTCTCAGTTGTCATTAAGACCTCTTTTTCCACTCCAGTCTCCTCACGCCCCTCTGGAAGTCCTCAGCTGAGGGAAATGACTACAAACTCAGGTGTATCTACCCTATCACCTTCCTTAATAAGCAAACAAAGCAAATCCAAATAAAAATAATATTATTAAATAATAGAAACTATCACTAGTAAGTACATATAATTTAATAAATATATTGTTAAGTGATGATAGCTAACACGCTGAGTGCTTGCTAACCCTGTACTCAGAGTTTCAGTATGTCTTTGCCCTAAATCCTTGCAAGTGGCCTGTCCTGGCTAATCTTGGTCGTCAACTTTATTGGCTCTGGAATCAATTAAAAAATGCAAGCTGTGGACTGGACAGATGGCTCAGCGGTTAAGAACACTGCCTGTTCTTGTAGAAGACCCAGGTTCAAATCCCAGCACCCACATGGCAGCTAACAACTGTCCGTAACTCCAGTTCCAGGGGATCCAACAGCCTCTTCTGTCCTCTGCGGGCATTGCACGACACGGGTGCACTTACCTACATGCAGGCAATACCCGCATGCACATAAAATAAAAATAATAAATATTTTTTTTAAAAGAAAGCTGCTAGGCCCTCCTGTGAAGGACTTTCTTGATCAGATTATTTGAATTGAGAAGACCCACCCTAAATGCGGATGGCACCTTGTGCTGGCAGGCCAGATAAAAGGTCGTGGAAGAAGGGGGATGCTCTACACCTGCTTGCCTCCATTCTTGTCTGCAAGTTCTCCTGTCTGGTTGCCACGCCCTTCTTTGCTGGTATTAGAATCGGCTTCCTCAGGCAGAAAGAAGACCAGCAATTCTCCAGGAATCCTTCTGGGTTTCAGCAATGCTAAGGCATCCAGCCTTGTGGACTGAGCAGCTACTGGATTCCCAGCCTCTCCAGTGTGAGACAGCCTTTTCGGACTGCCTGGATTGGCTCCTGTATGTCCGTCTAATAAATCTTCTTTACACACACACACACACACACACACACACACACACACACACAATCTGTGCTGTTCCTTTAGAGAATCTGGCTAATACATAACCCTTGATTAATAAAGACCCAACTCCTGCAAGACTAGCCAGGCCCGCCTTGCCAACCTCCCTCAGGTTTCTCCTTGGCTTAACAGTCACCAGTCACCGTGGCTTTTCTGGTTTGAGGACACTTACCAAGCCCTCATTCTTCCCCTTCTGCTTCAAAAAATGTGTTCCTTTGGGTCTTAGCACACTCGACCCTTTTATCCTAGTTCAGCTCCCCTCAGTGGAAGGTAGCTTCCACCCAGGCAAAGACCATGTCTAATTTGTGCACCACTGAGCTCCAAGGGCAAGCAGTGTACCAGGCACTCCAGGGTCACTCAATCAACATTTGAGTGCTTGAAAGGAGAAATGCACCAAACAGCGGGCAACCACCTCAGCACTGACGTGGGTTTGTAGAGCTCTTTCTCTAGGCCCTTTCCTAACTGCCCACATCATGTCCCTGGCATCCAGATCTCATGGTGATATGACCACCTGCAAGGAATCCTCTTCAGTTAGCCTCAGCATTGGTCAAGGTGGGTCGTCTTTTCCGATCATGCTTCTGGAGGACTCCACTAGAAATACATTTAAAATCCTACTCTGCGATGCATTTAGTACTTTTTTTTTTTTTTTTTTTTGCTAATGATAAGAGAAATGAAAACATTTCCCTGAATCCTAGACACTGTCCCCAGTGAATAATGGCGCGTGCCTACAAGACCCAAAGTAACAGCACAGTGCACAAAAAAGTTCGAGGTCTTCATAGTGAGTTTGAGGCCAACTTGTACTACAGAGTGAGACACTAAGAAAAAGTGGAAAATAAGAGAGCGACAGGGCTGGAAAGTTGGTCAGTGGTTATCAGTTCCCAGCATGCACGTGGCGGCTGACACCAGCTCCAGGGGATCCTTCTGACCTCCTCACGCATTGCACTGCTTGGGTGCACTTCCATGCATGCAAGCCATACACGCATGCATATAAAATAAAAATAATAAATAAATATAAAATATGAAAGAAAGAAAGAAGAGAAAGAGAGAGCAAGAGAGAGAGAGTTAGTTCTGTAAAGTTCAAACCCTGCGGGACCCACACCCAAGCTGCGGGCCACAGCCTTGGCCACGCCCCCGTCTGAACAAGGCCATGACCACGCCCCTCGCTCTGACTCCGCCCCCCAGCCCGGCTTATCGTAGCGACGGCGTGCTTACAGAACTGCGCACGCGCGCTCCCGCCTCCCGCGTCCCGCACATGCGCAGTGCCGACTGGCGGCAACTATGGCGGGCCCTGCGCCGGGATCCATCATGGCGGAAGAGTACTTCGGCAACGCCGCGGAGTGGGGAGAAGAGGCGGACGGCGGCCAGGTGAGAGGGCAGCAGGCGCCCCGGCGCGAGGCCCGGTTGCCGCCGCAGCCGGCTGTGCGGCCTGGACTCCGGAGCCCGCGCAGGCCTGGCTGGGAACGGGGGGGAGGGGGGCGTGAGCGCCGGGGGCACAGCCCGCACGCTGACCCCTGACCCCTGACACCGGCCTCGGCCCGGCGGGGTGACGGCACTGCGACCCTGGGAACCCCAGCCAAGGCCTTGGGCCGGCTCTACCCCGTGTGTGCCTCAGTTTCCCCAAGCGCACTGACCTCTGCCAGGCAGGAGGCCGTGTGCAGCCTGGGGCTAGAGGACTCCAGGGGAGGAAGAGGGTCAGAATGACACAGTTGTGAACACACTCAAACCCCAAACTCCTGACCAAACTTAATTAGCACTCTGGTACTTGATTTTCTCCATCCTCAGACTAGATGACAGGAAGGATCTCGGGGCCCTGACTGCCCAGAGTTTGGGGTGAGAGAAGAGGGGGACACCATTCAGTTCTCCCAGCAAACCCGGGGGTGAGGTGGTCAGGGGAGACCCGTTTGAGGCATTAGGAATGACTCTGGGCAAAGTTCAGGGAAGCCTGGGGATTCACCCCTTTTACAGGAGGGGGACCGTTTTGACTGAAGACAGGATGCAGTGGGGTGTACCTGGGGGCCGTGGAGGAAAGGACAGGAGGTTTTCCTGGAACTGAGGGAAGTCGGGTGTGTTTGGTTGGTGGAGCAGGGGCAGTCAGTCAGCAGGACCCCAGAGAGCTGCTGACCTGTAGGGCTTCTGTGAGTTTGGGCAGAAGTTTGCATGTAGGGGCATTCCACCGTCCTTGAAGACTGAGTGATAAGGAGTCGGGTTTATTTAAGTGCTTTTGTTATCTCACTCCTTGGCTCCTCAGTTGGACTTGAGTGTTACTAGTAAGTGAGGTGAGGCAAAAAGACTTGGTACCTGGCCTGAGGCCATAACACACTGGAGTATCAGAATGGGTCCATTGCGTCTCCATTAACTGTTGATCTGAGGTGGTCCAGATAAGGATATGAGATACAGGGGGAGGAGATGGCTCAGTGGGTACCACATTCCCCACACAGCGTCAGGACATAAGTTCAGATCCCTGGCACCCACATAAAAAGCCAGGCTCACCAACGCTGTGTAACTCCAGGGTTGGGGTAGAGGCAGGCATATCTCGGGCTCACTGGTCAGCCAGGCAGTCTAACTGAAACAGTGAACTCCAGGTTCAGTGAGAGACTAAAAAAATGGAGGGGCTGGAGAGATGGCTCAGTGGTTAAGAACATTGGCTGTTCTTGCAGAAGACCCAGGTTCGAATCCCAGCACCCCCTTGACAGCTAACAACTGCCTATAATCCCAGTCCCAGGGGATCCGACAGCCTCTTCTGTCCTCTGCGGGCATTGCACGACATGGGTGCACTTACCTATATGCAGGCAATACATGCATACATATAAAATAAAAATAATAAATAAAATATTAAAAAAATAAAGTGGAGAATGTTTCAAGAAGACACCCAGCATCAACCTCTGGCCTATACACACACACACACACACACACACACACACACATGTGTATGGTGTGGATTAGCCTGGTGGAAGGTTGATGTTCGACATGTCTTGTGCACACGTTGAGCATTTAAGTCACAAAGTGTCAGAATTGGCCTTAATTTTGTAGATTGAGTACAGGAGTTCCTTGTGCTGGTGTGTACAGTTAGGAGAGGCAGAGCCAGGCCTGGTGTCCAGTGGGCTTGGGACACTTAAAGCTTCTGTCTTTTTTTTTAAAATGTGTGTGCATGTATTGCCTGCATGTAGGTAAGTGCACCCGTGTTGTGCAATGCCCGCGGAGGTCAGAAGAGGCTGTCAGATCCCCTGGAACTGGAGTTATGGACAGCACCCATGTAGGTGCTGGGATTCAAACCCGGGTCCTCTGCAAGAACAGCCAGTGTTCTTAACCGCTGAGCCATCTCTCCAGCCCCGTCTTCTTTTTTTAATATCTTATTTATTATTTTTATTTTATGCGTATGAGTGTATTGCCTGAATGTGTGTAAATGCACCCATGTCGTGTGATGCCTGTGGAGGTCAGAAGAGAGCATTGGATCCCCTGGAACTGGAGTTACAGACGGTTGTTAGCCACCATGTGGGTGCTGGGAATCGAACCTGGAGCCTCTGCAAGAGCAGCCAGTGCTCTTAACCACTGAACCATCTCTCCAGCCCCTACAGCTTCAGTCTTAATCACTCTAATTTGGCTCATTGACCCTAGTGGGCTCTCACTGATAAGACATGAGCTATCAGGGATGTTCATTCTGCGGCTACTGGGCTGCACGAGTCCTAGGATAACGAGGAAAGGGGCCCACAACTTTGTAGATGGCGACATCATATTGCGGTGTCCAAACCTTGGACACCTACAAATACTCGCTCCTTTCATCTCCATTTCCTTGACTGCTCAGAGGAGGGAAAGTGCAGGAAGGTGGTCGGCAGGCTGCGTGAGCCCAGATTCTGTTCACTCAAGTGCCGTCTTCTGGGCACTGGGAGAGGTGGGAAGACGTGTAAGCTGCTGGGCTAAGTCCGGATGATAGGAGCTGAGAGCCACCGACAGACATGTCAGTTAGCTGGGCTGCAGGTTGCCGATGGCAAGTGGTAAGAGGTGGGACTGCACAGGGAAGCAGGCCAAGGTCATGCTAGAGTTTGGATGATGGGGATGATGGGGGTGATGGGGATTGGAGCTAGGAAGCTTGAAACACACATCAGGTCTGTGACTTACCAATGGTAGCATCATGTGAAAGATGATTGTAAAGAGTGGCAGACTGGGCTGTGAGGAGGTGTTGCTGCTGCAAGTATACAGTAAAGGACGGAGATGAAGACAGATAGGGAAAGAAGGGACAACTTGGGGGACAGTTTCTTTGGTCGGGGTGGAAACGGTAGGTCAGGATGTAGGAGTGAGGTGAGAAGGGGAGGAATGAAGGATGCCTCCACGGCTTCTGGGTAACAGGTGGATGATGGGAAGGGTCCTTTATTAAAATATGGTTTGTGGGAAGGTGTGTGCAGGGAATGACAAGATCGGTTTGGAACTGCAGGAGTCTGGGGTCTTACTGGGGTACTGAGTGGAAATACACCGCTGCTTACTTGAATCTGGAGCTCAAGAGAGAGGGCCACGTAGAACGAGATAATGGCCAGGTGCATGGCATGGTGCCAGAGACTATGGGGTGGTAGAGAGGGGAAGCCAGGGTAGAAACTTGGCCGTACAGACACAGCAAATCACTCTCAGCGTGCCCTTCCGCAAGCTCCCGTTGCAAATGTGGGCTGAGAGAAGACACCTCAGTCTTCAGAATGGCGTCAACAGGCTCTCTCTGCTCCAGAGCACTGCTTTCAGAGTGAGTGCAGACCAGTGTAGAACTATATAATGACTACCTTGGGCCATGTGGGGCTGTGCAACAGCTACTCAGCTTCAGGACTGGGGGACGTAATCAGAGATAGCACCTAACAGAGTGACTAGAAGTGTGTTTCCATAAAACTTTGTCTACCAGAGCAGGAAGGGGGCTGAGTTTGGCCCCAGTTTGCTGGCTCTGAGTCTGGCTCTTACCCCATCATGTACCGGTGCCCAAGGTTGGTCTCCTTTAAGTTAGTGAAGTCCTCCATGGAAAAGTCTTGTGTTTTCTTGGGTTCCCAGCCTAAGTACAGTCAGTGTTCCAGAGTTTCCACTAGCCACTAGGATGACAGCTGTAGAGTTGGACAGACCTGGGTCCCAGCAGGTAAGACAGCTGCTTTGCCCGGGGGTTCAGCCTGAGGCTGCGTCCAGCAAGAAGTAGGGCTGGATCTAGCCTGATTCCAGCATTAGTGGTCTTGATGCTCTAGCATCAATTGATGGTTCCTGACTTTAAGAGTCGTCTTGTCCTCTCTGTTGGAGTTTAGGTAGTGTGTATTGGAGAGAGGTGGTGAATCTCAGCTGAGTGTCAGGTATTAGGCTTGGCCCCTAAAATTAACTCATGGGATCCTCACAAGCCAACTGGGAGCAACTGGGAGTGGTGTCATTGGTTCCTTTGTTTAAAAGAGGATGACCATGTGTGATGGGGCACACCATTGGCCACCGTGGACTGGCCACTTAGTGTGGTTCCTGACCCATTTTTGAAACTGCCACTTGTACAGCCCCTACATCATGGGTTGTTATAACAGTCAAATGAAATAAAATATGTGAGATACTTGGAAAGTGGGCAGCGTTACACGTCTTCAGAGTGAGATTCTGGGACATTTATATTAATGAAAAGCCATCGTGGCTTTTCCCTTTCCCAGCAGCAGGAAGATGATTCCGGAGAAGGAGAAGATGACGCTGAGGTGCAGCAGGAATGTCTGCATAAGTTCTCCACCCGGGACTACATCATGGAGCCCTCCATCTTCAACACCCTGAAGAGGTGTATGAGAGTGGTGTGCACATCCAGGACTGGGGAGGGTTTGTAAACAGCCGGGAAGGTGGTGTGAGGTCCGCAAAGAACTGATCTTACAACAGAGTCCCCTAGTGATTTAGAAGAATCTTAAACTCTTTCTGCCTTCCTCCACACCTTCCTGTCCACCCCGCCTTCCGTGTCCACCTGCCTCCATGTCCCCGCGATCTAATAGCTGGCCCTCTTGCTTCCCCAGGTATTTTCAGGCAGGAGGGTCTCCCGAGAATGTCATCCAGCTGTTATCTGAGAACTATACCGCTGTGGCACAGACTGTGAACCTGCTGGCCGAGTGGCTCATTCAGACAGGTCCTGCCTCCTCACCTGCCCCTCTTTTTTTGATTTTCATTTGTGTGTGTGTGTGTGTTTGCACGTGCATGCTTATGTGTGTATCAGTGCAGGGGTGTGTGGGGGTGTGCATGCATGTGGAGGCCAAGGCTGATGTTGAGAGTCATCCTGCATCGCTTCTCCACCTTATTCACTGAGGCAGGATCTCTTAATCAAACCCAGAGCTCACCGATATGGTTAGCCTCACTTGCCAGCCCGCTCTGGAGACAACCTGTCTCTGCCTTCCAAGGCTGGAATTATAAGTGGGCCACCACCCCCACCTGGCATTTTTACATGAATTCTGGAGATTAGAACTCTGGTCCACAAGCACTTTAACCACTAAGCCATCTCCGAAGCCTCTATTCATCACCTTTTATGAGAATTTTGAGTCTCTGTGACGCTGATAAGTGTCCACTTTGTGTTCCTGGTTTTTAAGACTTGAAGAACTAACTTCTTGCCTATTTCTACGTGCTCAGCTCTGATCTGTGACTCAGTTGCTGGGTGTACAGACTGCCTGCAAATGGGGTTCTCACTAAGCCGCCTTCCCTGCCGAGCTGTAGAATTACAGGATTGCACGGTGCATGCACAGTGCGTCATTTCAAGAGGCCTATTACAACAAGTGGTAAATGGTGGATAATTTAGGACTGGCTCTGATTATGGCTTTTAGCTAATATGATCAGAATGGAGCCTTACTATAAATCCACTGAACTGGGTGCAGTGGCATACTCCAGCACTGTCCGGGATGTGGACAGGACCGGCTATCATGGAGATCCCGTCCAGGGTGGCTCTGGGCCGCACCTGCTCTCCTTGGGACAGAGTGTACTTTCAAGCATCTTCCCTGTTTGCTTCCGCCCTTTACCTTTGCTGAGTGAGAGTCTGAAGATGTCACTCTCCTGGCCGTACAGACGGTTAGATGATCCTGGGAAATCTGTGCTATGCTACTGGGTCTTACCCCTGAATAGAACTAGAAATGATTTCTAAGGGGTCTAGAATCTCCCTGCTTTTAAAAGTGGTCAGAAGCAGTTGTGTGGGATTGCAGACTTTGGCTGAGCCCTTTCTAGAATGTTCCTTCAGAGGTGAAGGGCTTCTGTCTTCCTCCAGGAGTTGAGCCAGTACAGGTTCAGGAGACTGTGGAGAATCACTTGAAAAGCTTATTGATCAAGCATTTTGACCCTCGCAAAGCAGATTCCATTTTCACCGAGGAAGGAGAGGTAAGGGATCTGTTCTTTGACCGTAAGTCCCAGGACCTGTAGCTAGTTCCATGTGTGTCAGGGCGTGTGGCATGTTGCGTGGCCCGACCCACTCCTTCATGCTCAGCAATGAAGTGCTTGCACGGGAGGCGTCCTGCTCCTAAGGCCAAGAAGAGGCCCATTGCCTCCTCCCGACTCTTGGGTGTAGCTCTGGGCTTGGAGGGCTGGCGCAAGTCCTCTAAGAAGCAGGTGCTGAGACAGGGCTAGACACAGGACTCGTTCAGGGGCTGTATGTAAGTCCTGGAGGCGGCTAGGAGCTCATGTGGGTCAGAGTGGGAAGGAAATCGGTAGGAAGCATGTCAGACTGAGTTGTGGCTCTTAGGATAGGCCTGCCTTGGGAGCTCTCCTGTGCTCCAGCAGTGGCTGGGAACAGCCACGGGAGCCTGGCCTTGGCACAGATGGAATGGTGGGTTGAACCGCCAGTCCATCAGTCAAGATAGCCCCTGGCCACTGCACACAGTGGTGGGCAGAACCACATCTGTCATCCCATAACCTCTCCTTCACCTGCCGAGGGCACAGGTGGTTAGCGTGCGGTACTTGTGCATGACGCAGCTCCACTGTACGCTTGCACCGCGGGACTTTCACGTGTGTCCCAGGAAGTGTGTTGAGGTATCTTTCAAAAGCTGTGAATGAACATGTACGAATCAGCCATTGAGCTCCTATGTGACCAGAGCCAGGGCCACCTGGGGCTCTTCCCGTGAGTGTGGTGTGTGTACAGCTCAGCTTTGCCTAGGCCAAATACAGCAAGAGCTCTGACCTTGCCTTTGTTGACTTTACCAGACCCCAGCTTGGCTTGAGCAGATGATTGCCCACACCACGTGGCGAGATCTGTTCTACAAACTGGCTGAAGCCCATCCCGACTGCCTGATGCTCAACTTCACTGTGAAGGTAGGAGGAGTCCTGAGTCCAGCAGACGTGGATCGCACGGGAATGGGGTGTCTGGCTTGCTGTCTTGCAAGCAGAATTTGTGTCTGTGCTGTTAGGTCTGTATTGACTGTACTTCAGCGTTAGGCCGAGTTCGGATTGTGCGTGGTGCTGGGGACCTTCAGACAGGCCTGGCCACCCTGCTTCCTCTCCCAGGAGAAGCGGGGAGCCAGGGTGAGAGCCCTGGGTGGGGAAGTGGGCAGCAAGAGGGGAGGTTGGAGGCGGAAACCAGTGCTTGCTTGGCCCATTCACCGCAAACACCTGACTGGCCTCCGCTCTGAAAGGTGGGGTCCCGAGGTGCTGACCCTTGGCTTCTACATTGTGTGGCAGCTCATTTCTGATGCGGGGTATCAAGGAGAGATCACCAGCGTGTCCACCGCGTGCCAGCAGCTGGAAGTGTTCTCCAGAGTGTTGCGGACGTCCCTAGCCACCATCTTGGATGGGGGAGAGGAAAACCTTGAAAAAAATCTCCCTGAGTTTGCAGTAAGGTCCCACCCCCAAACCTCGGGTTAGAGGGGCTGTCAGGCGTTAGGCTTCCAGGTGTGAGAGGCCACTCCCCGGGAGCATCTTCAGGTCAGAAGGCCCCACCCACAGGTGCTTCTCTGCCGGGGGAACTTTTCTGTCTGCACTTACTGTGTGACCTGAACTCGGTCTCCCTGCGATCTTCTAGAAGATGGTGTGCCACGGGGAGCACACGTACCTGTTTGCACAGGCCATGATGTCGGTGCTGGCCCAGGAGGAGCAGGGCGGCTCTGCAGTGCGCAGGGTGGCCCAGGAGGTGCAGCGCTTCGCCCAGGAGAAGTGAGGCCTTGTTTCTGCTTGCCCCTCCCTTCCTTTCTTCACAAAGCCCACACCTGGGTCCACAGCCTCTAGATCCTTCTAGTCTAGGTAAATCCCTAGTGTGTGGAACTGAAGTCAGGGTAGCTTTTAGTCCACAGGCCTAGCCTGCCCAGAGTGTTGACTGCCAATTTGCTAAGCACATGGTTTCTCCAGGTAGCAGGGTGTGTCCCGGTGCTTGTACGCACTAGGATACAGAAACCAGTATCTGACCAGGTCTTCAGGCCCTGCGCATTCATGGGGTCCCTGTCTCATGAAAGGGCTCTCTATAGCTTCTTTGCTGCTGCTGACCAGCCTTCCTAATTAAGGTGTTTAAGAACATGTGGTTGCCTCCTGGAGTCTGTAGCTGCACCTGAATCTTCCTTTCCCAGCTCGCTCTAGCTGTTCCCAGTGGTCGGTCAGTCAAAGTAGTGAATGGCACAAGTGGCAGAAAGCACAGGGATGTCACCAGCTCACAACCTCGAGTGCTTAGAGATGAGAGAGCAAGCTGCCCGTTAGTGATGGCTTGTGCATTTTTTTCTGTCAAGAGGCCATGATGCCAGTCAGATCACACTGGCCTTGGGCACAGCCGCCTCCTACCCACGCGCCTGCCAGGCACTCGGGGCCATGCTGTCCAGGGGTGCCCTGAATCCTGCAGACATCACTGTCTTGTTCAAGATGTTCACCAGCATGGACCCGCCTCCCGTTGAACTTGTAAGTTGCCTCCGTTTTGGTGAGACCAGTATTTGTGCCAGCTGCCCGCTTTGAGAGGTCTGAGTTCCCTGAGAGTGCCGCCCCTGTTGAGATAGTGTTGTGAAGCAGGGTCCTGTTCTGTAGCCCAGGCCTCTCTCAAGCTGGCAGCAGTCCTCCTGCCTCAGCCTCCTCAGTGCTGGGGACTTAGAAGTGTGAGCACACCTGCCTTAAGCCCCTTTTTGCAGTACTAGGAATTGAACCCAGGGCCCGTCACATGCCAGGCATACGCTCCTGCGCTTAGCTCCGTCCTCAGCCACTGAAATGGGTTTGCAACCTTCTCTTCAGCCTTCGCTCCTGGTAGAGCCCCTGCCACCTAGAACCCTGCAGGGAGGGTGAACCAGTGCCTCCCTATCCTCCAGCCCACTCCTGCGTCTGCCTCTCTTTAGATCCGGGTGCCAGCCTTCCTGGACCTGTTCATGCAGTCCCTGTTTAAGCCGGGGGCCAAGATCAACCAGGACCACAAGCACAAATACATCCACATCTTGGCATACGCCGCAAGTGTGGTTGAGACCTGGAAGAAGGTACTGTTATGCTGAGAACTGTGGCCTCCTGGGAGAACACATGGCCTCCTCTACTCTCTGCTGTCTGGGAATTTTGGCTGTGGCAAATCTTGAGCCTGCCTAACTTTGGAGATGTCTTTATTAAGGGTGTAAGATAGTGAAAGAGCTCAGTGCCTCCCAGAAGCCTGTGCAGCTTCTCTTAACGTGAGCAAAGCGTACCGCCCAGACGGCTTTCCGTTTCTGTGCACTGACTTCTGACTAGACATAGAGAAGGAGACGGGGAGAGAACAAGCCATGCGGGGGCCTGACAGGAAGGCTGTGGCGCCATCACCACTCACTGGTTTGTGTGCCTTCAGAACAAGCGGGTTAGCATCGGTAAAGATGAGCTGAAGTCCACGTCGAAGGCTGTGGAAACGGTCCACAGTCTGTGTTGCAATGAGAACAAAGGAGCCTCTGAGCTGGTGGCAGAACTGAGCACTCTTTACCAGTGCATTAGGTGAGTGTGACACTGGTTCCCACACCAAGTCCTCAGAATACCAAGAACTCAGGGCAGGGCTCCAGTTTTCATGTAAGAGCTTACATTGTGAAAGCAACACAGGTTTCTTGCGTTTAATTCTTTTTAAAAACATATTTTTGTTTTATGTGTATGAGTGTATTGCCTGCATATATGTGAGTGCACCCATGTCATGCATTGCCGCGGAGGTCAGAAGAGGGCATCAGATTCTCCTAGAACTGGAGTTAAGGACGGTTCGTAGCCGCCATGTGGGTGCTGGGAATCGAACCCCAGTCCTCTGCAAGAGCAGTCAGTGCTCTCAACCGCTGAGCCAGCAAGAGCAGTCAGTGCTCTTAACCGCTGAGCCATCTCTCCAGCCCTGAACCTTAAACAGTTTTAATAGCACGAGTTTAATAGCCAGAAATCTGTCCAGTAACCCTTCACAAATTAGACTTAGTAAAAGAAAGACATCCAGAATTAGAAAAATGGACTTGAAAGAAAGGGTCCATTTATAGTAAAGCTGTTAAACCAGCAAAGCGTTGCTTAGGTCGAAGTGGTTTGTGATCATGAAAAAGATGTGTCCTGCAAACAGGGCCTCCTAAGCATGCGCCTCTTTGCCCATTTACTGGGCACCTAGAAAAGGGTCCATTGAGTAAAGGTAGACTTCAGCCCAGGCTGCAGATCAGTGTTTTGCATTAATGATTGTTTCCTCCACAATGAGTGACATGATTTGAAGTGCGCCAAGAATCAAACCCCACTTCTCACTGTGTTCTTCCAAGAGGCTGCTGACCTCATCAGACCGCTCCCGCTGTAAGCGACCCTGGCAGCGCAGTCCTGACCTTGCTCTTGCTTCCTGACCCTTTGCTTTCTTTGGCCTCCCTGGGGTCCTTGTCCACCTGTAGGTTTCCAGTGGTGGCGATGGGTGTGCTGAAGTGGGTGGATTGGACTGTGTCGGAGCCCCGATACTTCCAGCTGCAAACTGATCACACTCCGGTTCACCTGGCTTTGCTGGATGAGGTGAGAGGGTAGACGAGCCACCGTGAGGCCCATAGTGGGTCCTTGTACTTGGTGCTGACACACCCGTTGCCTGTGTTCGGTTCAGTGGTTCTCTTTGTAGAGCTAGTTGTGTACAGGAAGTGAGGGTTCTCGAAGAACCTCGCTTCAGTGACTAGCATCTCGGTTTTATCACATGCTATGGAAAGGATAGCTTGGAAGCTGACTGGCTCTGGGCCCAGTACTCAGGCCTGTCCCCTCAGCAGTGAGCTGCGTGCGGTGGCTGCGACATGCTAACCCACTGTGTGTAGTGAGCCCAGAGGGCAGCACATGCCTTGGCCTCAGTGACTCTCCCTTTGACCATCCATAGATCAGCACCTGCCACCAGCTCCTGCACCCCCAGGTCCTGCAGCTGCTCGTTAAGCTTTTTGAGACTGAGCACTCACAGCTGGATGTGATGGAACAGGTGAGTTGCTCCTCTGGGCTTGTCAGGACTGGGTGAGCCTGGGCTCTGACCCATCCCCTGCCCCTGCTTCTCTGCAGCTCGAGTTGAAGAAGACCCTGCTGGACAGAATGGTTCACCTACTGAGCCGGGGTCACGTCCTTCCAGTAGTCAGTTACATCCGAAAGTGTCTGGAAAAGCTGGACACCGACATTTCCCTCATTCGCTATTTCGTCACTGAGGTCAGCATTGTACCATGGGTTCTCGTTGCTCTTTCAGTTAGCAGAGCCCTTTCTGGCTTAATGGAGTGTGCATGTTAGGAGCATTGAGACCTGTGCTTGCTGACAGCTGTGGTAACCTTGACAGTTTACTGAGCACATCCCCTGCATTACTACCCTGGCGCCTCAGAGCTGGAGGCTGGGGGTGTCACCAGGGAAGCCCTGGGGAGGGAAGGTGGTCTCTAGACTGCCACCTCATGCTCACGAACATTGTGGCCCAGGCCAGAGCAGGTGCCATGACCAGGGTTCTCCCCACTGATGAGTGCTGTGCCCCACACCAGCGCAGGCACCAATGACCTGGGGTTCTCTCCTCGTGACTCAGTGTTGCCCCGCTAGGTCCTGGACGTCATCGCCCCGCCATATACCTCTGACTTTGTGCATCTTTTCCTCCCCATCTTGGAGAACGACAGCATTGCAGGCACCATCAAAGCCGAGGGTGAGCACGACCCCGTGACAGAATTCATAGGTGAGGCCCTCTCCAGTGCGTTGCAGGGAGGGGCAGCTTGCACCACTGCTACCTGTTCTAACAGTGACCGTGTATGTCGTTACAGCGCACTGCAAGTCCAACTTCATCATGGTGAGCTGAGCCAGAGCATTCAGAGCTGAGGCAGCGCCTTCTGGGCCAGGCTAAGGACTGGAGGGCCCTTCCAGAAAACTGCTATTAGAAGAGGCTCAGCCAGACTCTAGCACATGGAGTCTCCTGGGAGGAGTGGACAGTTGTCCTTACAAGGAACTTGTTAGCAGTGCCCGGGGGGAGCTGGCTCTGATGGACAGCCCCTTCTTTGATGTCAGTGTGTCAGTGCAGTCCTGTGCCACATCCCACATGCAGGGTGTTTCCCTCAGTATAACCTCAGAGGAACCCAGTGGGCATCGGGCAGTGGGGACCTAGAAGCTAGAACCCTTCCACGAACCAATTTCAAGCTTGACTTCAGTGTTCTCTCAAGAACCCAGTTGATTAGTAGATGTTTTATTGTAGTTATAAATTTGCTAAGAGTAATACATCTTGAAGAAGCCCTTCTGCTACTGGCTGGGAGGTGTCCTGCTGTGTGTTCCCATGTACTCTCGTGTAAGGGAGACAGAGGCTCAGGCCTGGGCAAAGCTAGATCCTTTATTCATTGCTTGGGTTAGTCTGGCCTCGTCCACCCGCCCCCACCGCTTCTGAGGTGCCCCGAGCTGATGCACAGTCTGAGCCGTTCTGGAGTATGGCAATCTTCCTGAGGTGACTGGAGAGAGACATCGAGTCTGCAGGGCCATCCTGTCCAGCAGCGCCGTGCAGGTGGTACTCGACCTCTACCGGCTCTTGGATGGCAGTTCTGCGGTCCACCCTGGTCCTCGTGTCCATAGGTGTCCACATGTCCTCAGGCACCATTATCCCACTGTGGCTGACCCGAGTCCCACTGTGACTGATGATGTTGCTTCCAGAGACCTAAACAATGGGGTCCCCGAACGTGCAGGCCTCCTCGATGGCAAGGTTGTAGCTGGCTCCTGCCCCTCCCTTGTAGGTGCTGGTCACGATCCTCATCCAGCCTTTCTCCCCCTGAAGAACCAGAGATGAACGTTAGCCACTCAGCACAGTCCTCTGCTCTCCAGACCCAGGTCCTGCCCTTTGGTGCCCCCCAGCACAGTCCTACAGGACCTAGCGGTCCAGTCAGGCGCTCTTGCCTTGGCCCTTCCAGTGACAGAAAGCTCAGTGAGGTGCTCCGCTGGGCTGATATTTAACCCAAGGCACTCTGCCCGCAGCTAATAACGCAACAAAAAAACCCCACTGGCTCTCCCTGTTACTCCCCCATTTGTGGTCATTCATTGAACATGTCATAACTTCCACATCCACCACTCTCCTATTTCAGAATAATGAATCTCTGTGTCCTAAAAAAACAGGCTGCTTCCTCCCCTGAATTTTTTTCTCAACTCTAAAGTATTCTTTAGCGTTTCACTGGGAGTCAGAGAGATGGCAGGAACCAGAGGAAGGCCATCAACTGACACCTGTGCATTTCACTCTGGGCTGTTGGCCCCACGGCCTTGGCTGTATCTGGAGTTTCACTTACTCAAGCTGGAGCGTGGGGGAGAAACTACTGGTACCTATGGGCAGAGGGTGGCTAAATACCCCGATGCCCAGGATAGAGGCAGCCCTGCAAAACTTCAGGATTGGACCCCAGAGGTCACATGCTCTGGTGAGACTCAAAAGATGGGGGAGGAAAGTGAGTCCGGAAAAGTTGTAGAAAAGTTAGAGCTGTTGACAGAGTTTTGATGGAGTAGGAGTAACGAATAAGGCTAATGATGAAACTAGCAAGTGGTGCTGATTCAATCTTAGTTCAGGTGAGTATAATAGAGGGGATAATTTTTAGCACTGAATAAGATTTAAGTTTTGGACATAGTCTGTTTCGTAGGTGTCAGAAACTGTAAGTGTGCTAATCCTACAGCGGCCTTGCAAGCTCCGAAGACCAAGATAACAATAGGGGTCATAAAGGAGAGTAAGGTGTGTATTAGGTGAGATTAGGGAGGCTCTAATGTAGTATCATTACTTCAAGACATAGTAAGGTGGTATTAGGTGTGATTGGAATATCACAGCCCCGAGTATGGAGAGGAAGTCAGGAGAAGGCTGAGAATACAGGGGTCGTATGATCTAATGAGGCGGAATCATTTGTTTTAGTTGAACTAATTACCAATTTATTCTTTCCATTCTAAGCCTTTATTAAATCACTTATACATTAGACCTAAAGCTAGGGTAACGAGTAGACCCAAGGCTGTCAATATTACCCCGTGAAGTTACCATATTGTAGGGTTCATGCGAGTGGGAGGAGGGGTGCGATTTCGAGGTCAAATGAGGAAGGTGATCGAGCGCCATAAGGAAAAACTTGATGGAGAATGGTAGGCGGGCTGAGCCTACTGGGTCGAAGGCACATTCGTAGGGTTTTTGAGTAGAGAGTGAATTGAGGAAGTCAAAAGGCAACGGAGATTAGAGCTGGATGTTGGTGAGGAGGGTAGTGAGCTTTGTTATTTTCAGGAGTGTCCTGAGCTATCTGATTGGAAGTCAGCTGTACTGATTATACTAAAAGAATAGGACCCTCATCAGTAGGTTGATACAGGGAGAGTCGGACAGTGTCTGCAGAGTGCCAGTACCAAGCTGCAGCTTCAAATCCAAAATGGTGTTTTGAGGTAAAGTGGAATTTAAGTTGGCAAAAGAGGCAGGTTAAAAGGAATGTTGAGCCAATGATAACATGTAGACCATGACGGCTGGAGCAAGCAGCCCTCAGCTTGGGACAGTTCTCACACCCAGATGTCAACGTCTGCAGGGGAGGAGTGTATAGTCCTTGGTCTGACTGTTAGGAAGGGAAAATGACTTACCCAGGGTTCGCCCCATGAATTCCGAACAATCCAGTACTCAGTCCCATCATCACTGACACCCCAGCCAGCTACGGAGATGATGTGGTTGATAAAAGTCTTGTCCTGGTGCTCGGCGTAGATGCCGCTAGTGTAGTTAGCCATCTTCTCCGTCACCATTATGCCACAGCTGTGAAAAGCCGTCAGTTATCAAACCAGAAGAAGCGAGAGGTGTGGAAGTCCAGCACCACATCTATTGCTGTAGTGGCCTCACCAACAGCCCAGACCCACCACAGCTGGGGGCTGCTCTACCTAGCTGATACAATAGTCCCTTGGGGGCAGGTAGATGAAGGCTCAGCTAATTCTGAGAAGGCTGACATTTTCACAGATGAAAAACGGGTGTGGCTGCTGGGCTCCAGGTAGGGAGTGGAAGGGTAACAGGATACGGCGCTTGCACCTGCAGGGGTGCTCCCTGGTAGGGCCTCCCTCCCTCACGTGAGGGGCCCTTCCCTCCTCAGGTGCCCCCCCACCCGCGGGGGCCCACCTCTCTCCTGGCAGAGTCTTCCCCTCACCTGATGGGACCATTGGTGTAGATCTCCGCCATCATCTTCTCCCTGCCCGAAAGGGAGCCGTAGTCACCCACCTTCCACAGGGTGTAATTCTGGATGGTGTGACACTCTTTGAACTCGGTGCAGGTCCCACACTGGTTAAATTTGTCACACTCTAGGGGAGCAGGAGAAGTCAGCAGGAGGACATCTCATCAACCCACTGAGCGTCCCACTTCACCACTTTGCTAATTTAGCCCCACCAGTCGCTAGCTGATGGCGGAAGTCATCTTACTATCAGGTGCTGTTTAATTAGGCTCTTCTCTCGGCTGCTCAGGAGCTACGAAAAGCCTCCCCTCCCTAGGCTGCTGCAGAACAGGAAGAACAAACTTCCATCAGCACAGGAGGCTCTCTAAAGTTGGCCTTTTTCTTTTTGACTGTAATCAAGTTATTAAAATGTACCGGATGGTTCTGCCACCGGCTAGTGATGAAATAGGTCAATACATTTGTTTTTGGAAAAGATGCACCTTGTCACTTTGCTTGGAGGGGTCTGAAGAATTAGGTTAGGGGCTGAGATACCTCAGTTGATAAAGTGCCCACCATGCTGAGTCTGGATCCCCAGCACCCACATCAACCAGCATGGTCTGTAATCCCAGCCCTGGATGGCGAGGAAGGCAGATCCTGAAGCTCACTGGTCAGCCAGTCTATGGGATGGATGAGCTCCATCTCTGTGAGAGACTCAAAACACATGGTGGAACCAAGCGTGGTGGCACACATCCCCCGGCAGAGGCAGAGGCAGGTGGATCTCTGAGATTGAGGCCAGCCTGGTTTATGTGGCAAGTTCTAGGCCAGCTATGGCTACTAGGAGACCAGGTCTCAAAAAATCGAAATACAAAAAGCAGGTGGATAGTGACTGAAGAAAATACCCAAAGTTGACTTCTCGTGTGTACACGTAGATGCGTGCACATGCACCGCCCACATGAACATGTACAGACACTTCACCCACACATACAGAATAATTTTTATTTTCTTTTTAAGTTTTTAAGACAGGGTCCTTGCCTGGCCTGGAACTCACTATGTAGACCAGGCTGGCCTGGAGCTCACAAGAGATCCACCAGCCTCTGCCTCCTGAGTGTTGAGAAGCAGGTGTCACTATGCCCAGCAAGAACTTTAAAAGAAGGTGGCCAGGTGTGGCGGCGATGCCTGTAACCTCAGCGCTGAGGAAGTGGAGGCAAGAGGGTGTCAGGAGAGTTGGGGATCAGCCTGGGCTATGTGAATTCCAGGCCCAGCCGCCATGATACCCTGTCTTGAAAACAAAAATGAAAACAAAAACAAACAGAAAACCAAAGAGGAGGAGGGGAAGGGGAAGGGGAGAGAAACCAGAGGTACAGCTATGTTCCGTCCAACGCTCAGCTGTCAAGCCCCCCACCTGGAGCGGTTCTTAACTCTCCCTACCAGCCTGCCCAGCCCTCAGCCTGCACAAACTCAAGGTTTCCAGCACTGGTTTAATTTGTCCCTCAGATACCAAATGCCTGGTGTGTGACACAACTGAACAGGTGGTTCTGGAATTATTATTCATTGATATATAGATGCCCAGTGATGGAGCTGGTGAGATGGCTCAGCGGTTAAGAGCACTGGCTCCTCTTACGGAGGACCCAGGTACCATTTCCAGCACCCACATGGCAGCTAACAACTGCCTGTAACTCCAGTTCCAGGGGAATCCAATGCCTTCTGACCTCTGTGGGCACTGCACTACACAGGTGCACTTAACACACACTCAGGCAATAAACACACTCATACACACAAAATAAAAATAACATTAAAAAATAAAAGATGTCCAGTGAAAACATTTAGGTTCTACTGAGCTCCATCTACCTGTCAGGCTGGGGAGGATCTGAGGGTCCTGGTCTCAGCTAAATGGCAGCAGTCTGGGGATGGAAGATGAATGTTCCACAGGCCGTCCACTGCCTCTGCTCCACCCTCTACTGGTCCCCCCATGAGGTCTCTGCACCTGCTGGGTTTACTCAGCCAGGACAAAGGACTCACCCAACCAGGCTAGAGAATTCTTAAAATTCTTTGTAGCTGGGAATAAGGCCCAGAAGATGCGAGAGAACCCCATTCACTGCGGTATAGAGCAACCAGGTGTGAAGGTGTCTTTTAAGTTTATCAGAAAAACGTACCGTGGGGGAGATCTAAGGGCCAAGAGCTCAAAGCCACCAGGGAGGGATTTGGGTCTGGGATTTTCTTTTCCTTGGGTTTCCTGAAAGGGATGTGCCAACTAGTTTCCAGGCCAGCCTGCTCTGCCTGTCCATGGTTGGCCCAGGATTGCTGGGGCAGGAACCAGGTTGGTGCTGCATTTCAGCTGAGTCTGGTACCTGGCAGCTCAGGGGGCAAACACACCACTGCTCTCTGCTCCCATCTCCTGGAAAATGGACAGTTCCTTCCACCAGCTGCCCACCCATACTCCCTTATAAAAGGCTCATAGAGCCATCGGAACACTGTGCGTGAGTGCTCACACACCATATCTGACGTTGGCTGCAGCAGTGTTGGACCACGGGCTCTCAGACCCACCAGGTTCAAGGTGGCCTTGGGTGAGGCTGCAACCCTCTCTGGGAACCGGCTCTTTCTGGGGGCTCCAGTCTCCATGCCTCCCTCCAGCATCCCCACCAGTGTGACAAACACAGGGTGGGCCCGGCCTCGTGGCCACTCTTAGAAAAGAAAAGGCATAGGTAGCACCTACCCTGGTCCTTGGCCTGGTAGTTGTTGCAGGTCTCGTCTGGGATGCCGTGCTCATGGGCATACTCCCACACCGGCAGGTCGTTGCCTCCCTCACAGGAACCAGCATTACCACAGTCAATCACATTCTGCACTGACAGCAGGGTGGAGGGCCACGCACCTTTTCTCTTGATGTTGATGCGATCTGCAACAGTCAGCACCGTTTGACCTCAGTACCAAAGGGTGCTTATCGGCTGGCCTGCTGCTTCTGGGCAGCCTCAGCTCCACAATGGCTCCGTAGACCTTCCCTGGTCCTTCTCAGGTGGAGGCAGGGTTGGATAGAGGCACCTGCTAGGACCCTTTAGGGTGTATGCCCAAACACTTGTGTGAGGATGCCAGGCACCAGAGCCCCTAAGGCTGAGGTGGGCATCTTTATGGGCACATGCAGTACAGGGAGCCAGGCGAGCCCTACTATGGGGCCAGATACCAATGTTCACATGCTAAGCTCACACACTGAGGGACAGCTAGGATGGTCACAGTATTGACTAAGGACTTACTGCTGACGTGTGTCCCTTCCTATAAGGAGACCCAGGCCTGCTGGCCAGTCCTACCTGATCTAATTCAAACCATCTCCCTTTCCATTCCTGAGGTCAACAATGTCACACCATATACCAGCCTCTTAGGCCAGGCCTTGTCTCCTGTAGCCTCACAAGCCCTTTGGCTGATGCCTGTTTCTTCCCACCCTCCTGCGGCTTTCAGCCCGGGCCACTTCTCAGATTCTCCACTTTGGTCCTGCTCCACAAGGCTGGCTCCAGCTGACACTGAGCCACCCAAACAGACCTAGACACACACCTGATGACCTCATAGGGCATGCCACTGAAAACCTCCAAACCAGACATCTTGCCGCCACTCAGCCCGGTTTCTGTGCCCACAAACGCACTTCCTGTGCCACTGACAAGCAGGCCCCCAGCTACACAAGGTACAGGGGTCCAGGTTCCTCCTGTTTCCTCCCCCAGGGTTTGGCTCCCTTCGGCCTTACCCCATCTTCACCCCCAGCAACAGCTCATCTCTCAACAAGAGACATGCACACCCTCAGGCTTCAGAGCCCTGGGAGCCCTTAGAGCCTAGTCCAGGGTCTCAGGCCACTGACCCACCCTCTCAGCTGTGTGAAGCAGGGATCCCCCACTGTCTGCAAGTCTCTCATAGCCTTCACGGTTCCTAGTTTCACACTGCCCATCTTAACCATGTCTACATCTTAATCTGACTGACCCCTCTGGGCAGTGGTCAATGGAGGGGTTGCTTTAGCCTTCTGGAAGCACTTGAGCCATCTCTGCTGCACCGGACCTTGGCAATGTGTGCTTCCCAAGGCCTGCTGAGAGCCTTTCCCTCCTCCCCCAAGCTCCTCCTGGCTTGGGAGACAGATGGAGGTGGACCAAGTATGCAGTGCTGTGAGGAGGTTCACCTGGGAGCACTCAGGGGGTAAGGTGACATTTACAATAGGGCAGCCCAGGGGATGCTCATCCAGGGAGGGAGCCATGAGAACGTGGGAGGAGAGCAGTTGAGTTGGTATGTGAAGACTTGTGCCCATGCTTCCCCCACTGGCATGAGGACAGGGTGAAGGAGGAGGCCAGACTGGAGGCTCTGGGGAGGGGACAGAAGGAGCTGTCTGATCTCAGTGGAGTCCCAAAAGGGTTTCAAGTCAAAGAATTTGATGGGGCACGCCTTTAATCCCAGCACTCAGGAAGTAGAGGCAGGAGGATCTCTGTGAGACTGAGGCCAGCCTGGTCTACACAGTGAATTCCAGGCCAGCTGGGGCTACAGAGAGACTGTCTCAAAAAAGACACCCCTCTCCCAAAGAATATGATGGGATGCAGGTTTACCAGGCATATTTAGTAATCTCCTGTCTGAGAGACCAGGTAGGAGGCTCCATCAGCAAGGCCTGCTGAGAACAGAGGGGGCTGGGCCTGGTGGAGGTACAACCAGCTTGTAGGAGAGATACAGGTGAGAGTCAGGCAGCCCTAGGCTTTTGCCTGAGTATCCTCAGGGGAAGGATGGGCTTGTGAGTGGGTGAAGGTGGGAGGGATGAACCTTCACACCCTAAAGTCTAGGGCTGGAGGCAATGGGGATCCAGACCAGAGGGAGTGGCAGGCAGATACTGAACATCTCAGAAACTGTCAGGCTGGATGTGGTGGCACTCCCCTTTAATCTCGGAGGAGGCAGAGGCAAGCGGATCTCTGAGACCAGCTGGGGCATACAAAAAATAAATAAATTGTGGGATGTAGAAGAAGCAAAGGAGCTGGGAATGGCTGGTGGGGAGTGTGGTCAGCAAGGGCCTCTCATTCCAGATAGATGGTGGAGCCAACCCCAGCGAGAAGAGGCCTGAGTGGTAAGAAATCAGAGTGGTCAAGTGGAACTGAGGTGCTGGGCTCAGGAATGGAGAAGAGGAAGGGGGGGAATCCAGGATCCCCATGGGAGCAAGCAGGAAGGTGGGTGGAACCAAGGGACTCTTGGTCACCCATTGGAGATGGATGGTGAAAGAGATGAACATGGCATCCTCTGACAGGGATAGGCAGCCTTAGTGAAAGGGATGGGGAGAAGGCAAATTGGTCCCACTGTGGCACCGCCAGCATATGGCCAGGGCCCTGTGGAAGTCCCCTCTGGTGTCTGCCAGTGATAGAAGAAGCAAGGGCCTGAGCTACAGATGATGAGGTCAGAATTTTAAGGAGAAAGGGATGAAGCAGTCAGTCACCTGCCCGGAGGCATTCTAACCCAGTAATAGGGAAGTTGCAAGCTCTAGGGCCTAGATTCCATCTAAGAGGGGTTAAGGCCCATCAGCCCTACCCCACAATTTTCTGCAACCTCCTCATTTGCCTCCTTCCCGGTTTTCTGTTACCCCCACCACACCCAGTGCTCTGCTGAGAAGGCTCTTTCACTTCCCCAACAGCAGCTCTCGCTACTCCACTCCTGGGTGCTCTTCTGGATCTGGAGCTGGGCCCACACATGCCTGCCAGCCTGAACCTCTCATATGAACGCCCTTCGCAGCCCACTGTCCTTCTTCCTGAAGGGTCAGCAGTGGGTCCCAGCTCCTGGTGGAGACTTCCAAGTGTCACAGCTTCAGCTGAATGGTTCTGGGACGCACAGCGCACACACAGACAGAAACCTCTCCTTAAAACAGAACCTAAACCAATTGGCTGAACCCCGGCTGTCACTCATATCACAGCCAAGTCTCTGGACCTCCTCCTTGTCTGGGAACCAACTGAGAGCCACACTGGCAGGCAGGAGGCCTATGTAAACTGCTGTATGCATGAGTGCTGACTCCACACCATTGCTAATCTTCAACCCAGGCCCCACCTACAACAGACCTGGTCAGAGAAACACCAGATCATGGGAGCGGACACTTGAGTCACTCTCCCAGCCAGAGTCCATTGTTTCCAGGGGTCACTTCTGGAGATGGGGAGACCATTCTACACCCTCTGGGTGGTCTGGCCCTTCCTGGCTCTTGCCTCCTCTACCAAGCCAGGGCCCAGCAGCCCTTAGGATGGTGTGGGCCTCGGTGATCCTTTTTCTTCCTCCTGAGCCTTCTTCTGGCTCTCGTGGTGGCCAGGCTAAGGTTGGGGTAAAAGATCTGGCCATTTCAAGCCGTATTCCTCTCAAATACCGACTCCTGCTGAGAAGTTTCACTTCCTTGTCCCTGAAGACAGGCTGTTGGCTTGGTGATTTTTGCAATGTTGGTTCTATCTCAATGGCTGAAGTCACAAGCTCGGGTGGGGGAGGGAGGGCACGTGGGAGTCACTTTTGTCACTGAACTTTAGTCCCAGGCCTGCTTAGCCCCCAGAGACTCCAATGGGCCCACAGGAGAGACCACAGAATGACCTAGCTATGTCTCTCTGACCTAGGCTGAATCCTGGTATAGAATCACAGGCTCCAGGAGCCCTGGGCTGTGGCTGTCATGGCTCACCTGGCAGTGGCCTAGATAGTTAAGTGGCAGCTATCCACCTGCAAGGGTACTGGAGCTACCCTGAGTCCCTCATGGAGTCCCGGCCACCCACCTGCCATGGCACTGGTACTGCCATGGGCCCAACAAGAGCCACAGTACTGCGGGATGTGCTGGTTTCTGGTGACGCTCGCATAGTTGACACCATCCACATTTCTCCAGTCCCAGGTCTTGGGGAGATCCGATGGGGAAAGGTACTCATATGGCCGAGGGTAAGTCCTGGGAAGAGATCGCCATCACAGAAATCAGCACTAGAACACCTGGGGACCCTGGCTCCCCTATACCAGGGCTACAGACCTAGGCGCCCTCCATCCTTTCCCAAAATGTGAGTTGGCAAGCTGGAGCCTCCATCACCATATGAACCTCCTGCAGATCCCAGCACTGTCCGAAGGAGACGGTGACAAAACACCTCTTAAATACCCTAGCCTCTCCAATCAATGCCAGAAAGATGGGGATTGCCCAATCTGGCAAACACCAGGGCTCCCGGGATGTGAAAGTCATCCCCAAAGCGGGGGACAGGATGGGAGCCTCCCAGGCCCAAGGAGGCAGTGTCCCGGGGGATGGGAGCTCGCCGGGCTCGCAGGCGGACCTCCCTCCTCCCCGGGCACCGGCCCGCGCCCACCTGCGCCCCAGCTGCGCCAGCTGCCCCCCGCGCAGGGGCCGGTAGCAGGTCTGGCCTGGGCGGAAGTAGATGCGGGCCTGCGCCGCGCCCGCCAGCAGCAGCAGCAGCAGCAGCCGCGGCGGCTGCACCGACCCGGACGACGTCATGCTGTTCCCGACCCCGCTCTGCTCCGGATCCTCGACCCCGCGTCGGCTGCGCCCGGATCCCACGCTGCGCCCTGGACCCTGCGCCCTGGCCCACGCGCTCCTGCCGTCCCTCCCGGCTCTTTCGGTGGCGCAGCGGCCGGGCACACCCCCGGGGCGGGGCCGTCCCGCCTGCTCGGGTCCCTGCCCCGCCCGACCGCCCCAGGGCAGAGCCTCCTTCCTCCGCCTGGGTCTTGCAAATCTGGAGTCACGCTTGAAGTCACCAGACTTGACCGTGCCACCAGCCCCTGTGATTGAATGGCTTGGCTGGCCACAACCGTCAAACTTACTTTCTGGAGACCCTAACAGCTCGGAGCCGGGTAGGGAGCTGTGGACTTTGGGAGCCCCACCCGGCCCTGAATTCTTGGGTGTCCTGGTTAGTGCAATGTCCCCAGGGGGTCAGGACTCCCCCAGGAGCACATAGAGGTCTCCCAAGTCCTGAAAAGGAGGCATGGGTCCCCCCGAATTGAACCCCATTTCTCAAAAGGCCCAGGATCTCCCCAAAGAGATGGTTCTTGTACAGAGAAGGAAGATCCTTCTAGAAAATGCCCTTATAGGGCATCTTCATTTGACACATCTTGAGGTCCAAGGATGCTTGGAAAGATTTCTTGCTAACCAAGACTCCTTATAGATGAGGAAACAGAAAGCTGTAGGCCCAGATCTCGATTTCGGTAACTGAAGAGTTCCCCCTACCTCGTGTGCCTAATGAGGTCTAGTGGCAGTCAGCAGGCTGCAGAGTAGCTTCCTCCATCTTGTGGGGAAAGGCCCAGATATTTTATTCCAAGGCCTCTGCAGGTCAAGGACGTGGAGTTCTGGCTGTAGGGTCCTCAGATGGCCTTAGCCTCCTTTCTCCCCATTCAGAGTGCACCTGCCAGGCTACCCCCTTCTCTGCTTGTGCCTGTTGGCAGTCAGGAATCACCTGCAGGCTGCATCACTACCTTCCAGCTCCTTTCCAACCACCCCCGAATTTCAGTAGGGTGTGGAACCCTGCTGGATACCTCTGGCCACAGCAAAGAGAGGCCTCAGAGGAAAAATCTAGGCTTCAATTAACACAGAAGCTTTAGTCCTTGTCCCTAAGATGTGGTCACTGTGGCAAAGTGCAGACACTGGGATCTGTCTGTTGATGTCTTTTATCTTGGGAAGTCACATGATAACTCTTCACCTCATCCAGGTGAAGGAGCAGGGTGAGATGGGTGAGGCCCTCACAAGACGCTGGGGGAAACACTAAAATCCAAGCTGTGGGGTGGGTGGACACCCAGCTTCCAAAACCAATTCTTGCCAACAGAGACCGGACATTTACCTCAGAGCTCTGTGCTTCACTTTGGAGGAACAAGGAGGGAAAAGGGCAATGCCACCTCCCATTTGGGCTCCTCTCCTGCCTCCATGACAGAAGGGGGCCACCAGGTTTTTCAAGGGGGAAGAAAGTCAGGCTCCATGGTTCCTGGGATGCGATGCTGTCCAGGTAAGCTCTATCAAAGAGGCTGAGGGTTGTCTCCTCTAAAGAAAAAGTCAGGGTCTGGGAATGTGACTCTGTGGTAGAGCCTGCTCAAGGACCTGAGTTCAATCCCTGGCATAATGAATGAATGAGTTTATTTTTAAATACTTAGTTTATTTTTATATGCATTTGCATATGAGTGCAGGAAATCAGGGAGGACATGGAATGTGCCAGAAGCCATGGGCCAGAGTTACACATGGTTGTGAGCCCCCCACATGAGTGCTAGGAAATAAACCTGAGTCCTCTGGAAAAGCAACACGTGCTCTTAACCTCTGAGCCATCTCTCCAGCACCTAAATTAATCAATTAATTTTAAAAGAAAAGAAAAAGCTGAAAGTATCTGTGGAGTAACAGATTGTCAGCAACCCCCAGTAACCAGTCATGCCCTGTTGGTGCAAATTCCACCCACACATTCCACAACACAGCAAGCAGCCTGCAGTCAGTAGACAGGCCTTGGACCCAGCTCCAACCCTGCAGTGCAGTATCGTGATGCTGGGCACATATACCCTCAACTTACAAGCTCTTCTGTGTTGGTAGCCCCGGGGTACTGTGACGGAGCCCTGGCATTGACACAGCAGGCCCACTGCACTTAGAAGGTATCGGGACAGATAGGGCCTTCCGTGTGCACATGTGACACCCCCCCCCCCCCCCCTCTCCCCCGGGGCCCCCGCCCGGGGGG